TCAATTATTCATGAGATATTCATTACGTGAATGAAGCAACATGATATATGGATTAAACATCAAGGAAAAAAGTGCAGTGGAGATTCCTAACTTATTTGAATTAGAACAAGTTGGTTCTTAATTAACCTAATTTCTTGGGCATAAATTTTCCCATTTTTTCAAGTTTATAGCAGGTTAGACACTTAATTTGAATAAAAAGCAAAATAACTAGAAAAAAAAGGAGAAAAAAATGAATAAACCTAAGGATTAATCTATGTGTATATAGATGTACACATAAAGTTCACATAATGTGAGTGGAGTGGGGCCCACGATACTGTAGCATGGGTCCCACCCCACTCACATTATGTGAACCTCTATGTGTACATAGCATTGCTCTAAACCTAATTCCTCCGGTTCGTGTTTCCTTCCCCATACCCCCGGATGTGGTTCCACAATCCCATTTCCCCATCACTGGTTGGCTCTCCCCAGATAGTGATGGACAATTTAGAGATGGGGCGGGAATGGTAAGGGGATAAAAATTAGTCTTGGACAAAAAAAAAAAAAAAACAAGAACTTTTTACTTTTAATATTGTCTCCAACGGTTATTATTGTTATTTTTTTTGCTTTTAATATCGGTCCCAGATGAGCTAATTCTTTTTTGTTCTCTGGTCCTTCGTCTTTCTCGTCTTGGGTTTTTGTGATTTCGGATTCAATCCTCCCCAAAATCAGGTTTCAATTGTTTTAAAAAGAAAAATGTTATTTGTACATTTAAAAAAGTAGTATCTTAAAAGAGTGGTCTCCTTTAGGTGACTTTTCACAAGTCTAAAAGCTGTTTTTCTATTGTGATTTCCAATCATCACGATCATGATTGATGTACTACAAGTCCATTGTAAGATCAAAAGCTTTTTAGTGTCAACTCATTTTCTGTCATAACATCTTTTAAAATATAAATACACCCTAAAACCCTGGCATTGTGTATATATATAACCAAAAGATAAAACTGCATCTGCATATTTATCATTTCTTTTGTTGAAACTGTCTGTCATTAGTGAAAGAAATGAGAAATTTTGGTCTGTCCCATATTTCTCCCGTTATTTTAATCAATGTTAGCCACATGAAAAGAAATTTTTATTAATTGTTAAGTGATCTTTTAAATTTATTGATACAAATTCGAGTTTGAAGGAGGCATATATGTGACGCATTCTTAAATTAGTTTTAATTATCAATTTTAGTGGAAAGGGTAATTAAATAACTAAAACAAAAGCTTAAACTTGTTAAAGAAACGTATGTAGCCTTTTCATATATTCATCATAATTGAAAAAAAAAAAAGATTTAAATACTTCATGCATATGACAAATAATTATAAAGAACCAAATTGATCAAGAAAATTCAATGTAGCATAAAAGGTTTTAATACTTAATTGATTTAGTTTGATAGCTGTTAGAATTGGGTGTTACCCAAATTCCTTGTTGAAGTAATTGAAGAATTTTAATTGAAATGCATTTTAAAAAGAATTCAATTTGGGATATTATTGGAGTCTATGTCATGTTGAAATTCTATTTTGGAAGCCTATGGGAGTTGAAAATTGGTATTGAATTTGAAGAAGAGTTCGGGATGGAGAAATGGAAACAAAATAAAAAAAATTGGACAGAATACATGTTCCGATTTTTCTTGTTTTTCTCCATTTTTTCGTTTTGAACTCGAGTTTTTGATATCCTACTTCATCATCAACTCTAGTACGAGGGTTTTGACGTCCCATACATGTTCCATATAAATATTAGGTCATTCTACACAATTTTATAGTGTGAGAATATTGTGAAAAAATAGATTGCTAGAATTTTAGGATCAATTGTATATTTCTCCATTATTATTGGTGCAATAAAATCTCATAATTCCTCTACCATATTTTCTTGTCTTCTTTTATTCTTTTGCTTTTGATAAAATACTTCATTATTGTACTATATAATTTCAACATCTCANATAAAATCCCTTAATTCCTCTACCATATTTTCTTGTCTTCTTTTATTTTTTTTACTTGTGATCATATACTTCATTATTGTGGCGTATAATTTCAATATCTCAATCCGAGAGTTGGTATTAGAGATTTTTGAGCATAATTAATACAACAAGTGGTATCAGAACTATTCTCATATCTTGTTCGTTTCATAATAAGTGATATCAGAGTGATACATGATCATTGAATTTCCAACAATTGATATCAAAGATTTTGGACATAATTAACCCAACAATAGCATTAACTGATGGAATGGATATTGAACAAGAGATCCAAGATATCTACTTGTCCAAATCCATCAAAAGGTTTAAAAGATTGCCACACAAATTTATTATAACTTTTTTAAATTAAATTATGACAAAATAATCTCACTCATTCTCACACATTCGTGCTTCTAATTCTAATTAATCATAGTACTTCTAGCTAAATCAAGAAAACACACTCCGATTTTTGTAGAAATTGAATCAACCACGGACAAGACCAGAAGATAAAGCCATTAGCAGGATCGCAGCGTCCTTCTCATCTTGTGGAAATACTCGGTTAAAGGCCAAATTCTTGCTCAAATTTATCAAGAAATCCTCGATGCCGAGTTTCTTCTTATCATTGGATGGTCCTGCAGCGATTTTGCAATGCTTCTTTAGTTGTGCAGCATGTCCATTTTTGCCAGTCTTGTCTTTGTGGTGAACCTTGATCTTCATAGAGGATGGTTCAGTCGTAATGGCCATCACGTTAGCATCAGCAGCAGCTGCTGCAGCCATGGCTCGCCTCGCCTTTCTTTGCCTAATCCCACAGGCGTTGCAGAGAGACTACAAAAAAGATCGAAAAGAAAAACCAACAAATTGGTGATTGAAATTTAGCAAATTAACAATTTGTATTTAAGATATATTTGTTTTAATTGACGCCTCAATACTGATAGTGGATAGCTTATTTTTCTTATTTTTGTCCAATAGGACCAATACTTGCCGTCTAATATAACATCTCAAACATGGCATTAAAAATTCGAGAAAAAAAGTATACCTTGGGACCTTTGGGACCACTTCTCCAAAGGGGGGTCTTGGTTGTGTTACAATCAGCACAAACCCTAATTGGGCTATTTTTGTTTGAAGAACTGTTGCTGCTTAAATCAGTTTCCAAAGATGAGGATGGCTGCTTCTGATGATTTTTAAACTTATTTGTACCACTATCAGTTAATTTTAGATCAACACGATCCGAATTCTTCATCATGTGCATCAATCTTATCTCTGATGACATCCACTTAACTGGACTATTAGTATTCTCCCATACACTTTCAGATGGATTTTCCTTCTTCCACAGAGTTAATTTAAGACCAGTATCCTCTTTGTTTTCAATGTTGTATGATCCACCACCATAGGCATAATTGACATCCTGCGTTTAAAATATCAAAAGAATTTGTGGGACCATTATAGTACAATAAGATTAGATAATAGGGAATAATTATCATCCCGATCAAAGGGATCATCAGTATAATTTGGTATTTAATAAAAACCATGAGCAAGCATAAAACTTTATACCTCTTGATGCCTCTGAGGTTGGTAGAATTGATGGCGATAGTATTCCGCATGATCTTGAGTTGAGTTGAAGAAATAATGGCTTGAGAGTGAAGATGGTGAAGCAATTTGATGGTTTGCACCAAATATCGAGGGGTGTTGATCATCGTGTTCTTCATTTTGTTCGAGAACAAAAGGTAACGAATTAAGGTTCATTGGAGTCATTTAGATGGATTTTTCTGCGAGGTGGGGGCGAAGAAATTAAAATTTTTCTTGATTATATGATCCCATGAAAGAATTATAGGTTTGAGATTGAGGGCTATTAAGGGAAGTGAACAGAAGATGGTAATATTGTGTAAAAGGCCCTAATGAGCAGCGATCAAAAGGTGTTTTAAAAGGGAGGGAGAGGGCGGGCCTAGACATTCACATGACTTCATGACAGCCAAACAAACAAACTATAAGAGACAAATCAAAAGGAAGGAGCAGAATGCTACCACAGGACAGAACCCTATCTCTAAAAGTTTCCATCTTAACAAATTTGAGCGCCTTGTTTGGCAACGTTACTCAACAGTACTAATAATGATAAAATAAGGCATGTTGTATTTTTCCATCTAGTCAAGTCGTCATGGCCAGCCAAACATGCCTTATCATATATAGTACTAATGATAATGGAAGAAAATTTATAGCCACCACATATAGGAGCATCTTTAAGTAACCTCATTAAGCTGATTCTATTTCTTTCCCACCCCTCCCTACTCTCATCCTCATAATTTTATAACTTTCTTTTTTGGGTTTCCGATTTTTAAATGAATAATAATATGTAGAACCTTTTATGTTATAATATCAGTCTAAGAGTTTGTTTGGGAGAGATTTTTGGGGGAAAAATTGATTTTGAATAGTGATATGATGGGAAATGTGTGGTTGAAAAAGAAGAAAAAATTATTGATGGGATAGAAAATATTATTTTATTGAAGAATGTGTGGTTGAAAATGAGAATTGATTTACTGTAGAAAAATTTAATCCCTCCCAAACAGGGACATAATGTCGTTATGTGATAAACTCAATGAAACACAAAATTAAGTAACTCATTTAATTTTACGTTTCATTTAACGTCACTTAGCACTACATATATAGACTAATGTTGTAAAACTAGTGATTATAATAATATTACTTTTTATATATAGGTTTTTTTGTGATCGATCATTTAAAATACCAGTAGATGGTACTCGTGTAAATTAACTTGTACTTTATAGCTCCAAGGGTAAACAAACCAAGTTGATGGGATTTATGACAATAAACAAGATTTCGGTTTGTAATGCACTGAGCGGCATGTAGAAGGTAGTTTTTAGAGCATTGTTGGAGCAAGTTGACCCTTGGTTTAGTTCTAGAGTGACATTGCACAAAATTAGTGTCTAGTAATTAACTTAATATGGTTTGAACTATATGAGATTGGATATAGAAGGAGCTAAATAATAATTCTACAACTAACACTGAAGATGGTGATTAAGAGTGAGGTAAACGCGGTGGCTTCGCCTTTCTATCTTAGCACAAGAGAATATGTTAGGAACATTTTTGGTTACACGTGCAGCCACGTAAACACTACATGATAACTCATACGCTATAGAATTGTCTTGTCTAGGATTACTCACCGAACATGACCGTTTACATCTCATATACCGAAACAGAAAGATAGAGACTACAGATTTCCCTAGCTTAACCCAAATTAGTAACCACTTCTTGACTGGATTGAGATATCTACAAAATATGGCTAATGCCCAAAACGTTTGGGTTCTGGAAAAAAATAATAATAAATAAATCTAGAAATTTACTATCTGATCACATAAAGAAACAATTATGACTAGCCTCACATGCATGGATAAAAGGAAAAATTTATCCCTCTAATACAATCAAATAAAATTAAATGTAGCAAGCTCTGTCTTTTCGTTTTCATAAGGGATCTGAGAATTTTAAGGCCCACAGCCATGGGCATATGCGCTGTCCTGTGATACACTCACTCAACTTGTAATTTCAATAGAATTCAAAATACAAGAGGAAATAGGTGCACCGCGCCTTGTCAACATATCGAAGGTGACAATAGGAAAAAAATAAGATTTTAATTTATGTTTCAAATAACCAGTCAAGTTGATTGATCAAATATGCAATGGAGTCGTTGGGTATGCCGAACATTTGATTCAGCCCCCTATTGGGGCTTTCTTATTCAAAAAACACATTTTTCTCTTTTTTATTTATAATTATAATTTTTCAGTAAAATAATATTATAAGTAAACTCAAAATTTTTCCTTATATTTTAACTACGCGTTCTCCAAAATATTACTATTAAAAAATGATTTTTCTTTTCCAAAATGTACTTTTAATGGAGCCCAAACAAGGGATCTCAGTGTATGATGGTCCAGTCCAAGTTCGTGACAAATTGACGCAGTCCGTGTGCTGTGAAGTTAAAACTTACTATACATACGTGTTTTGACTATGATGAAGACACGTGGCAAGATGGACGGTTGGATTGGAGGTTTTGGATACTTCTAATTTAAGACTCACGATTGCCTCATTGTAGTAGGTGGAACAGATTCAACATTATTAGGATTTTCTCTTCTTTGTCTCTCATTCTAGTTTTTAGGTTCTTTCTTCTTATTACAACAAGAACAATGCTTGATGTACAATAATTTTAACAATATTGTTGAAAACATATCAAGTGGCATGTTGTCTTTGGACAATTTAAAAAACAATTCATCTTTTCAACTAACATCTTTTTGCCACAATCAACATTGTCAACAATGTTGTACAAATAGATTAATTCTTACAACAAAGGGTTGGGATCTTTCTTGGGTTAATAATTTGTTAGTGGAAGGTATTTTTTACAGTTTGTAAACAATCTGTAAAGAACATTTTCATTCGAAGTCAAAATTCAGCTTAAATCTCTTAAGGTAGAAGTCTTGGGTACGAATGATGTGACAAAAATTTGAACACAGAGACTCAATTTGTTACAAAATTGTAATCCATTATCAATAACAATGACTAGTCCAATATGTGGCACAAAATACTTGGTCACATTAGCTATAGAGGCCTACAGATTCCCAAAAAGACAGGTGATTTTGGTAAAGATAAAATTGAAAAATTACCACCCTTTTTTGAGTAATGCATAGTAGGAAAGTAAAGTAAGATTTCATTTAAAACCGGAGTTCTCAATCCACTTCTATACTTGAATACTGCATACCGACCTTTGAAGGCCTGTCCCTGTAAGTACTTTTACTGCTTTTAAGTTCTTGTTATTAGTTGTAGATGACTATTCAAGGAAAGCCTGGGCATTGTCATTAAAATCAAAAATTGATCCCTTTCCGACTTTTAAAGATGGAATGTTTTCTTTGAAAATCAAACAATTAACAAGATTTAAGTGTTAACGAATGACAATGATTTATAATTCTGCAATATTGACTTTGACAAGTGACAACTTGTGTAAGGAGTCCGGTATATTCACAAGTAGGGGTGGGCAATGGGCCAGGCCGGGTCTGGTTTGGCCTAAAATCAACCCAACCCGATATACTTGGTTTTGAACTCTCACACAAACCGACCCGACCCGGCTCATATCCCTAAACCGAACCGACCCGAATCGGGTTGGGTCGGGTTGGGTCGGGTCCAACTCCAAAATTAAATTGTAGAATAAACAAAAGCAAACAATACCAATACCAATAAATTGCTTCTGCAGCTACTTCTAGCTTCAGCAAGGCGGCAACACCAATAAATCCCATAAATCCATAAACACCAAGCAATCAAATTGCAACAATAAACACTAAAAATTCGTTGTTCCAACACCAAAAAATGTTTTAGTAATCAGAATCTGCCATTGCTAGCTGTAATCAAAATTGAAAATCTTAAGCTTCCCCAAGCAAGATCGTCTGTGTTTTAATGCGATTTCAATTTTTCAAGTTATAAATGGCGATTTAGCTGAAACTTGACAAAATTACAGAGAAGAAACTGGACCCACTCTCCTTCCTAAATCTCTAGGAGAGAAGTCCTCTCCAATCGTTACCAACCAAAAAATGTACCCAACAAAGCATTCAGATACTTAGCCCCTCATTTCGGACTCCCAACACCAAGAACCACCATACGTTGTCATATTGACCTACCAACCACCGCACACCAACCGTGTTCTCAGTAAATCCTGCTGTCGCCGCCTAATATGATTTGCCACTTTATTGCCTTTCATCGTCGCCCCGCCTACCTTTTCTGGCCCTCCAATCCCGACCTCTCTATCACCCCGCCTCCGCCATGCTCGTTCTTGACGGAGTTGAGATAATGAGCGACGTGATTCTGTTGTGGAGGACTTGGCAAAGGGTGCGATCCCTTTCTATGTCAAAGTGAATAATTGGGTTTCAGTGGTCGATTTGTGAGACTTTAAACAATAAACCGACCCGACCCACAATTATTTTAAATTTATGTTACCCGACCCAACCCGAATTTATCCCTAAACCGACCCAACCCAACCCAAAACGGGTCGGGTCGGGTAGGTTTTTCGGGTTGTGGTTTTCAAGCCCAATCCTATTCACGAGGCATAAATCTGTTACATATCCTCCACAACGAAATGGAGTGCCACAAAGAATAAATAAAACATTCTGAAAAAAGTTAGATGTATGCTGCATAATTCAACTTTACCTAAACCATTTTGGGAGAGCTGTTAAAACAACAACCTATTTCATAAATAGCTGCCCATCTAGTGCAGCTAACTTTAGAACTCTATAATTTTTATGGAATGGAACTCATCCAGATTATCTAAACTTTAAAGTGTTTAGATGTGCAACTTATGCACATCACGATGAGGACAAGTTCGAACCTAAATCCCAAAAATGCGTTTTTTTTTTTTGGTATAGGAAAGGAGCTAAAGGTTAAAGGTTGTGGTATAAAGAAAATGGGAGTTATTATTGGAATTTATGAATCAAAGAGTAGAACTTACCGGATTTGATATAAACTAACCAGTTTTAACACTCCTCACCGTTTAATACAACTCACCGGATATACACTCAACTTACCGAATATACA